GATTCATCAACATAAGTAATGTTATCCCTGATGTCACCACCTCTTTTAAATCTAGCCTGAACTGTTGGCAGTTCTCTGTCACTCTACTCTTTCAGCTAGTTTTGGATTATCTTCGGTAAGATTTTACTTATTAGGTAGACAAAACTAAATGCATGTAAACTAGAATGCTAGAATATGTGGGTGTGTGTAAACAGGTTCCTTTGACTTATTTTTTTCTTTTTTCCTAATTCCCTAGATTTTATAAATAGTTTTTTGTTTGTGGGTTGTTTTTTTCTCTTTATCTTTTTTTCTTTCTTTCTTAGTTTCCTAAATCAATGATAGATGCCATTTTAGACACATGGAAGTGGAAAGTTTGTTGATGTGTGTTTGATTGCCTCATTTTTAAAAATCTGCCAATGAAAGGTAAAATTATCATAGGATGAAGCTAGAAGGGCCAGAAGGGGCCCAAATATTGAACCAGGAAGCAAAGAACAGTTCAAAGCCAGACAAGTTCTGCAGTCTATCAAATCTAGGAAAGAACAGGGGCCTGTAAGTATCAATCCATGATGTTAAAACTCAAAAAGAAGTGAGTTGTTTACTCACAGTAAGGGTACTCAGTTCAGGACATGTTAGAGACACTGATGGCAAACCATAATTTACTAGGTACTTGGTGAGAGTCTAATTTTGCTTTTAGGTGCCATTTAGTTGACTACTATAAATAGTGAATGACTCTTTGAACAGTAGATTGGAAACTGTGCGTCTCCTGCTCAGTCCTCACAATCTCTACCCACTGTTCCAGTCACTATGACAATTCATCTCATTAAGTATCTTTCTTTATTTCACTGACCCTCTACTTTTCCCAACATAATCTCTCTTTCAAATTACTAGCCCCTTCTAACAACATGACCAAAGTATGTGAGACAAAGTGTCACTATCTTTGTCTCTAAGGAGCACCCCTGCTTGCTCTATTTGTTCTTTTGGCAATCTGTGGTGTACTCTTCTCCAACACTGCGATTCAGAGCCATCAGCTCTTCTCTGATCTTCTTATTAATTATCCAATTTTCACATGAAAGTATCATGATCTGAGTCATGTATACCATAGTCTTTAAGCAGACAGACATCCTTGATCTTTAGAACATTAAAGTAGTTCTTAACAGCAGATTTGCTCAATGCATCTTTCAACTTCTTGACTGTTTCTACCGTACTATTTGATTGTGGATCCAAGTAAAATGAAACTACAACTTCATTCTTTTCTCCATCTGTCATGCTATTGCCTACTGGCCTGTTGTTGTTGTTAGGTACCATCAAGTATGACTCATAGTGACCTTATGAACAACATATCTGTCATGTCCTGTGCCAACCTCGCAATCTCTGACACACTCAAGCCTATTGCTGCAGGCACAGTATCAGTGCACCTGATTGAGAGTCTTCCTCTCCTTCACATCCTTACAGCTTTCCAAGCATGATGTCCTCCTTCAAGAAATAGCCTTTCCTAGCAACATGCCCAGCATATGTGAGAGAAAGCTTAGCCATCCTGGCCTCCAGGTAGGACTCTGGCCCCACATTCTCCAAGACATAGCTGTTTGTTTTCTTTTGGCAGTCCATGAAACACCCAGTACTTTTTTTCAACACCACGGTTCAAAGGTATCAGTTCTTTTTCCATCATCCTTATTCATTTTCCAGCCCTCGGCAGCATAACAAGCAATTGCAAAATCTGCGTCAAGTACACCGTAGTCCTCAAACTAATATCTTCGCTGCTTAGTAATTTGGAGAGGTCCCTGACTGCAGACTTTCCCAGTGAAATACAACTCCTGATCTCCTCACTGCTGGTGCCATCCTGACAGTGGATCCAAGTAAAATGAAATCATTGACAATTTCAATGTTTTCTCCATCTAATGTGATGTTGCCTTAGTCTACTGGTGAAAATTTTTGTTTTCTTGACATTGAGATGCAATCTGTATTCAGGACTGCAATGTTTGATCTTCTGCAACAAATTTTTTCAAGAACGTGGAAACTATTATCATTAGTATCACATATAAACAAAATACAACTACTTGTCTAAGTGTGAGGATTTTGTTTCCTTAATGTTGAGATGTAACCCATAGTGAAAGCTGTAGTCTTTGATCTTTTCCAGGAAGTACGTCAAGTCACCATGTGTGACTTACTTGAAATACTCATGCGATAATTTCCAGCATCACAGCAACACACAAGTTATTATAGGATGGCAAATTGGCAGTATGGTAGGAGGAGTCCCTAGCAAATAGGATAACCAGAAAATTGGTGGTTCAAGTCTACCTAGAGTCATCCTGGAAAAAAGTACTGGTTATTCGCTTCTAAAATTATTGCTGCTGTTGTTATGTACTGCCACATCCAAAATTAATATAACAACATTATTAATATCACATGTAAGCAAAACACTGCTGAACATTATTCAAAAACAGAACAGTACATAGATAGGAAAGTTCCAGAAGTACAAGCAGGATTTAGAAGAAGCCATGGCACCAGAGATATCATTGGTGATGTCAGATGGATCCTGGCTGAAGGTAGAAAATACTAGCAAAATGTTTCCTTGTGCTTTATTGACTATACAAAGGCATTTGATTGTGTGGCTCATAAGAAATTGTGGCTGAGATTGAGAAGAATGGGAGTTCCAGAGCACTTAATTGTGTTCATGCAAAACCTACACATGGGCCAGGAGGCTAATGTGCAAACAGAGCAAAGAAACCCTGCATGGTTTAAAATTAGGAAGGGAGTGCATCGGGGCTGTGTCCTCTCTCTATACTTATTCAATCTGTATACTGAACAAATCATCCAAGAATCTTGACTCTATGAAGAGGAATGTGGCATCAGGTTTGGAAGGAGACTCATCAATAACCTGCATTATAACCTGCATTATGCAAATGACACAACTGCTTACTGAGAAGGAGGAGGACTTGCAGCACTTGCTGCCGAAGATCAAGGCATGCAGTCTTCAATATGGATTGCATCTCAGTGTCAAGAAAACAAGTATTCTTACTACTGGACTGTTAGGCAATATCACGATGGATAGAGAAGAGATTTAAACCATCAACAACTTCATCTTTTTTGAACCCACAATTAATACTGTTGGTACCAAAAGTAAGGAAATGAGGAAACATAGTGCACTGGGAAAGTCTGCAGTACGGACTTTGTCAAATTATTGAGGGGTAATAATGTCAGTTTGAGGAGAAAGATGTGTCTGATTCAGGCCATGGTCTTTCCAATCACTTGCTATGCATATGAGAGCTGGACAATGAATAGGGATGACAGAAGAATTGATGCTGTTGAGCTGTGGTATTGGACAATAGCACTGAACATCCCATGAGCTACCAAAAGAACATACAACTATGTCTTAGAAGGGTGCAGTTGGAGGAGTGCTCTTTGGGGGCAAGAATGATGAGGCTTCACCTCACATACTTTGGGCATGTAGCTAGGAGGGGCTATTCCTTGGAGAAGGACATTATGCTTGGAAAGCTGTGAAAATAGTGAAGGAGAGGAAGGCCCTCAACCAGGTGGATTGACACTGTGACTGCCGCAATTGGCTATAGTGTGTTAGGAATTTTGATGATGGCACAAGATTGGATGGAATTCAGACACACTTTTCATAAGGTCGTAATGAGTCATGCTCGACTAGACAGCACCTAATAACAACATCAAAATGACTTATAGCTGACCCTCCAGCAGGTTTTCAGAGACAGTAAATTGCACAGGAGGACTTACCCATCGTTCTCCCATGGAGCAGTTGGTGTGCTTGAACCACATGCCTTCTGGTTGGCATTGTAACTTCTTACCGCTAAGCCATTAAAATGACTATGAAGCACAATATTATTCCCACACATATGGAGTCTGCATGACCTGGAGTTAGCAACAACTGGATGGTTGTTTTGTTTTTGTTATTGTTGTTTTCACAAAAAAGGCGAGGATGGCTGGCTTAAATTTGAAAGATGATTGGACAGCTCCAAACTTTGCCAGTTTGGGAAATGCAAAGACACAGAACGATCTCTAGCTTCAATGAGTTCATAATCCTGTTGGAAATATAAACCCATGTAAAATGCCTAATGGGTCTCTTGCCAGTTTTCCTCATCACCATTACTATTGCTGTTTGTTGAATGTTAAATAACTATAGCACAAGAACTGAAAAAGACTAGTTGAAAATACAAAACATTAGGCAACTAAATATCATATCAACTGAGAGATACAGTAACAGGAGAAGCACTAGAATTTGGAAAGAGAAAGTCCAAGTTAAGTCATATCCATGGAGTCAGAACCAACTCATAGGTGACACTCCAGAGGGTTTTCAGAGGCTCTAACTCTCGTGGAAGAAGACTGACCATCATTCTACTATGGAGCAGCTGGTGGATTTGAAACAAATGCCTCCAAGTTGGCAGACAACTCCTTTCGCTTAAGGACACCAGAGATGTCTCTGAAAGGGAAACATAGTAAATAAATTAAGCTGATTTTTAAAGATTTCCTTTAAATAGTTAACAAGAAATTGTCATTATAAATGGATGTGTTCTATTCCTTTAGTTATGCTTTGGAGCCAGTACAAGAGAATGGGACTCCATCTCCTGTAGACTGCAGAATGAGCCCCTGGAGTGAATGGTCACAGTGTTACCCTTGCCTCAAACAACAGGTAAGTTCCTATCTCTCTTCTCTCTGACCTCTCCAAGTAGCAACTGCATTGTGGAAACAGCATTTCTGCCACAGAAAAGCAACTGGAATACAGTGAGCCATCTAATTTAAGCTCCAAATTCAGAAAGAGAAAGAAATAACTATATGTGCATGATTCACCTTATAGATAAATCTGAATATATGAATTTCAAGAGAAATGAGTTCTTATGTAAGATGATCACAAAACATGGAATGTGAAATACAGTAGTGTTTACTGTGATTGTTGTTAATTGTTAGCATATTGTCTTGGACTTATGGGAGCTCTGGGGGCTTAGTGGTTAGGAATTGTGCTGCTCACACAAAGGACAGGGTTTGAATCCACCAGCTGTTCCATAGGATAAAGATAGGCAACCTCCTCCCATGTGATTTCTTTCCTCTGAAAACCTGCTGGAAGCTCAGTTATGGGTCCATTCTATCTCAACCATACACAACAACAATATCTCTGACTTAGAGCGATCCCATGCAAACAATTTGCACATATCTTTTAACCAAAAATTAGCATTCAAAATTCATCATTTGACACAGCAATTCCACTACTGGGAAGACATCTTAAAAGCTACAGAGCCACGACTTGGATGAATGTATGCACAACCCATGTTTATTGCTTTATTATTCACAGTTGCAAAGAGATGGAAGTAACTCAAGTACTCACCCACAAATGAATGGATAGGAAAATTATGGTACATTCACACAGTGGAATATTACATAACACTGAAAAACAATGAACTTGTAAAACATTACACAACATGATAACCCTGGAAGACATTATGCTGAATAAAATATTTCCGTAACTAAAGGACAGATGGGAGACTTAGTGTCAGATGCATGTGGCCTCTGGCTTCTTAGGGAGAGGCAGGTAAGAAAGGCTCCAGGTGGGTGACTCTAATGCGCGGCCCTGTTGTTGTTGTTGTTATGTGCCGTCGAGTCGTTTACGACTCATAGCGACCCTATGTACAACAGCCCTAAACCCTGCTCTATCCTGTGCCAATCGCCTGTTTTTCATTGTTTTTGTTCAAACAGTCTTCTAGGTGGTATAGCCCTGGTGTGTCCACTTGCTGTACACAGATAAATTGTGGTCGCCGTGAAACTGAACCCTGTGACACTGATGTGTCAAATGTGATAACGTTTACCCAGTGTTTGGTGACTCTCCTCGGTTGAAACAAGCTTGGAAGCAGGAGTGGCATCCACTTCCGTAAACAGCTTGCTCCTGGAAACCCTGTGAACCTGGAGAAAGAATGAAAGTCATGCACACAAGGGTCGAGGACTTTCATTCATAGGGTCTCTATGACTATCTTACGACTTGAGGGCACATAACAACAACAATGACAACGGACAGATACTGTGTAGAATTCACCTAGGAGGACAGTGAAGGAGAGGCTGGACAATCTACTCCTAAAAATGTTTGTTCAACTTAACAATTCAATTCATTGCTCTCAAGTTAGAACCCACTCAAAGCTGACTGTCCGGGGGGTTTCTGAGGCTATAAATCACATGGGAGGAAATAGACCCCTCTTTCTGTGATGGAGGCACTGGTAAATTTGAAGCAGCAGAGAGATGCTGCCTTTTAGATTAGCAGTGTAGCTCCCTGTGCAACAAGCTACCAGAGCTCCCTAAGATTGTTGTTAGTCACCATCAAATTCACTGTCTCAAGGTTTTTCTTGACCATTTGTTTGTTTGTTTAGCAACCAAGTGGAAAAGATTTATAAAGGTAATAAAACAGAAGCCAAGCTAGTAAAAGGTGGTGGTTGTTGCTGTTGTTGTTAGGTGCCCTCAAGTTGAGTTGAGTACAACTCATAGCAACTCCGTGAACAAAAGGCCATTTGAAAGTTTTAAAGTGAAAACGAATAAAAAGGAAAAGGGGGAAAGAAAATTTCAGATGAAGCCAAATTTAAAGTATCCTGTCAGCAGAAAAGAATAGAAAGAGCTTTGGGCTGTGACCTTGAAGGAACCTTGTATCACATTGCTAACCAACAGGTGGCCAATTAGAATCCACCAGCTACCCCACGGAAGAAAGGCAAGTAGTTTTTCTTGTAAAGCTTTACATCTTTGAAAATTGAATGAGGGTCGTTATGGATTGGAACCATCTTGACAGCAGTGAGTTTGGTATTGGGGAGATAAAAGTTAATCTTTACAGTTCTAGTGGCCTAGTGGTAAGAAGCTGCACTACAATCCTAAAGGCACACGGTTTGAATCCAGCAATCTCCTCCTCTGTACTGAACTGGCTCTGAACACTCTCTAGAGGGTCCGTTAGAACTTGCTGACATTCAACAATAATCTTTATCATAGCAGATTACAGGACAAGGTGGATTCAAATTGCCAGTCTTCGAAGTGGTAGCCAAATGCTTAACCATCGTGTCACCAGGACTCCACTTTATAGGATTACAACCTCTGAAAGCACTGTGGAACCCAGCTCTCCTCCGACACATGTGGGATCACCATGAATAACAATCTGCTCAGCAGCATCAGGTTAAACTCAATTAGTGACTAACTATCTCTCCACCATTGTAGAACCGTCGAGTCTTTTTTTTTTTTCCTCATATGGACGTAGCAATAGATCATATTCCCTTTTCCAGTGTTAGAATCTCTAACCTTTACAGCTGGTTTTGTGCAGTTCCGCTCAAGGAGCATCGAGGCCTTCGGACAATTCAACGGGGAAGCCTGCCATAATTCAGTGGGAGACCGCCAGCACTGTTCACCTGCTGGGCCCTGTGAAGAAGCTGAGGATGACTGTAGGAGTGGCTTTCGATGTGACACAGGTAATCTTTACCATCAACTTGATCATCCTGAGTTTTTGGTTGTTTTTTTGGTTTTTGTTTTTTCACAGAAGAGTGAAAAGGAATAAATGTGTTTTGTGAAAAAGAGCAAGGACCATGTAGGGAACACCATAGCTGACCTTTAACAACTTCACAAGAGAAGCTACCCCGCCCACAAGCATCAATAATACAAAACCAATTTCCATGAGATCAAACATGTCCCCCAGATCCTATATCTCTTTCTACTCATCTCAACACCAATCTTATTCTTTTTCTGGGTCCAAAATTCAATGTGATAGTTCAGAGATCACAAAGAACCATATTGGAGAAGCTAAAAGTTTATAATACAGATTAATAACAGACTATAGTCAAGACAGCTCCCAAAATAACGCATGCAGGCATCTCAGCCTTGAGCCTCACTGCATTTCCAAGTTCTCAATCCTGCCAGTATTGGCTTTCCTCCTCCAATTCTCCAACAATGTTTTCAGTCCTGAGACTATTAGCCTCTTCTGCCACTGTGTCTCCCAGGTCCTATCTCACATCAATTCTCCACTTCAGCCATCGCTGCTGCTGTTGTCCCAAAGTGTGTCCTTCATTTCACCAGGTTGAGGGAGGCCACCTTCCTCTTCTGATGGGAGAAGATTCTTTTATCTTATCAGAAAAGAGGTCTATTTCTACCGCTAGAGCTCTTCAATTTATTGGCAAGATTAGCCAATCCTTTTGTAGATTGTACTGCGAAGTGTGAATGGTTCTGCCATTTATATATTTTGTCCAAATAATTCCTGTGTGTTTTTTTTTTTTTATGGTCATCTTCAGTTCTATTTCAGAAAGAGAAAAAGTTTGACCTAGATGAACATAGTCACTTTCCTGATTTTGATTGCAGGAAGGTGCATAAATCTCAAGCTCCAGTGTAATGGTGACAATGACTGTGGAGACTTTTCAGACGAAGATAATTGTGACAATGATCCTCGTCCTCCCTGCCGTGACAGACAGGCAGAAGAGTCTGAAATGGCACGAACTGCAGGCTATGGGTCTGTATACCACTTGAATTTTTCAGTTGATGCGTGAAAACGAGCCCCATCTCCCCTGTGGTGATCAGAGGGTACAAGTATTTGGGCTGATATCTAATGTAGGCTATAGGTCTGTTTTTTCAATTACATTGTCATTTGGAGAAGAATATTGATGACTAATATGAATTGTCTCAGGATAATTTGTACTAGCTTCCCAGCCACAGTTTGTATAACAGACTACAAGGAAATTAGATGATTGTTTCTGAGCCCAGTAGGAAAAATGAGAGTCCACTTTTGGCCTTCTAAAAGATCATATCAGAGTATAAAATGGCATGTTAGCATTTGTGAAAGATTTGCCACTTGTTGGTGGGGCAATCAACTCAAACACTGAATTGTCATGCAGATTGACTTCCACTGGCATGTCCTCCAGATCTAGAAACCTTACTGAAAGTTCTCTGGGAGCTCCAGCTTTCTGGAATTGACCCAGGAGAGATAGAATCAGAGAAAGAAGTGCTGTTGCTAGAAGCTGATTGTGGTGAGACTCAGGTTTCACTGGAGAGACTCCCCTAATTTTACATAGAAAGCGTCCAGACTGTGGTTAATTGGCTAGAATCTCAGATGAGAAGTCTTGAACTATACTTCTAACTAAAGGAGATGTAAAATAAAGACTATTATAGAGAGATTTGCACTTCAGGAGTTATTGCCACTAAATACATCATTCTGTTTGGATTCTCAGATGGCATCCTAGATCCATCCACTACATGAACAGTCTCCACTAATTCTAATGTTTTCAGTTGTTCTATCTAAAATGAAGATTTCTTGGCAACAGCTCCTACAGAGACAACAGCTGTCCTCCCGTCAGTGGTTAACTGACAGAGACAAGCATAACTCTATTGCATCACCTGTAACGTGATGTGTCCCTTTATTCTCTTATGACCAGTACCTGGTTCATAGTGAAGGTTCAGTAAATTGTTGGTGGATGGACAAATAGATTAAGTAATGAGGCTTTACGGAGACCTAAAGCACAATTGTTAAGCATTTGACTGTTAACCAAACATTGCTGGTTCAAACCTACTAGTCACTCCTTGGGGAGAGAAGACCTACTGATCTGATCCTATAAAGACTACACCTTAGAAACCCTCTGGGGTAGTTCAGTTTTATCCCATAGAGTTATTATGAATTGAAACCAGCTCAAAAGCAGTCAACAATAGCATCAACAATTGATAATATATGAATAAATGTTTTCTAAAACACATAAATTGATGTTAATTAAGACTGCCACTTACTCAAAATTCATTATAGGAAATCAACTTACAGCAGATTCTGCACTGGGTTTCTGAGACTGTAAATGACATGAGAGGAGTGGGCTCTTCTTTTTCCTGAGGAGTTGCTCATGAATTTAAAGGCCTTGATTTAGAGTGCAACTTCCTACAAAGCTAGCCTCCAGAACTCCCTGGACTGGCATTAGGAAGAAATTCAAGAACAGGATGGAAGTTTAGGAGAAGAAGGGAGACGGAGGTGATGGTAAGAAAGGTTGATACAGGGAATGTGTTTGTTTTTTAGGGCTGCTGTAGCATAATACAACACACTGAGTGTTTTGTAATAACAGGAGTATGTCTTACGGCTCTGAAGCCTGAGAGTCCAAGATCAAGGGCCTGCCATGTTAATTTCTTCTGAGGCTTTGAGGGAAAATCTGTTGCATGCTTCTCACCTAGCTTCTGGCAGCTCTGCGCATTCCTTAGCTTGCACCTACAGTATCATGTAATATATAGTATTCCTCTATCTCGCTATGTCTGTGTAAATTCTCTCTTATAAGGCACAATCATATTAGTATTATGACCATCTTACTCCACTATGAACTGATTGATAATCAAACCAATTGCATCTCCTAATAGAGTTCCATTTACAACATAAGGGTTAAGAGCTCAACATGTCTTTTGGGAGGACTAAATTGAATCCCCAAAGAAACTAACATAATGGTTCTCAAGCAATGTTATTTCTCTCAACCTCATGGTGATTTGACAATGTCTGAAAACAGTTCAGATTGCCATAGCCAGGGGATAGGATGTTCCTGGCATCTAGTGGGTCCAAGTTAGAAATGCTGCTAAAGCAATTTAATTCACATGCAAACCAGCCCAGAGTTTAAGCTTGAAAGTCCAGGGTCATAGAATCTTAGACTAAGCAATTCATGAGAAAAGACTTCTGTATCAGGTTTGGACAAAAATTGAGACATTATTTCTTTCTGTGCCAAACAAAATTTCTGCTTTGTTAACCACAAAAGGAAAAAATAAAATCAGGCTTCAAAAATCAGGCACCAGTCACAGGGTTTCACACACCTTTTATCCCTTTTCTAAAATCATGTCCACATAGCATTCAAAAATTACCCAGAGTGCCTTTGGCTGCCAATATTTAAGTGGGAATCTTGAATCAATTGGTCATAATCCGCAAAGCTAGGCCCTTTAAGAAATTGGTGTTCAGTCGTATGGGAGTTGTCCATGATCTTAAAACCAGGTCTTTGTGTTTGGGGGCAAGTTCCTTCTTTAGTGCTTTCCATGGGGAGAGATTGTGAGTCACTGTTGAAAGGCCATTCCTACTTTATTTTTCTTTATTTGAAATCCAAGAAACAATTTTCTTCCTAATCTAAACAAAAGAGCTTGAAAACAGGGAATTCCACATTACTCACTCTCACTCAGTGCAGATTTGCAGTTTGTCTTACAGGAAAAGAATATGGAAATCTTGGACCACTTCGCTGAAAAGGAAAGCTCAAGATCTATTGGATTCCTTTGCTCAGGGAAAACAAAAATTTGCCAGGAAGTTTTGTATTTGTACGTAATGAGACTTCCCAGAGAGCTAGCTAGACCAGAAAGGGGGGTGGGGTGGAAGAAAACCAACTTACTGCCATCGAGTTGCTTCATGATGCCATTGCATCTGTTTTTTTAGAGCTGCAAATCTTTACAGGAAGTGTTTACCTACCTTTCTCACAGACAGCGAGTGGTAAATTCAAACTACTGACCTTTTGGCTAGTGGACTAACATGTAACACATGACATTACCAGGGCTTCTTAAGCTAACTCTCTCCAACTCATTGCCCTTGAGTCTGTTCTTGAGCTCCAGTAGGTTGGAGGCTGGAGATGGGAAGACACTGACTGTCTTTCTCCTGAGGAACAGCTTGGGGATTCAAACCACCAGAGAAGCAGGACATTTGGATTAACAGCACAATTCTCTATGAATTACACCACTAGAAACAAAGTTAGCTAGCTCAAATTCCCAGAATTTCTCCTCCTTTACCAGGATCAGAGATGGCATTAAGAACTTCACAGCACTGAACCTTAAATGTCAAATCAAAGGTGCTGAGTGACGTATCTCAGTCACAAAAGAACAAATACTGCATGGCACTGCTGTTATAAAATAAGACAGACATAGGGGAGTTGGGGAGAGAATGGGAAAAGAGTGGATAGATAATGAACACTGCATTAGAACAGATGAGGGGAAGTACCATCCAAAACTATATTATCATATTATTAGACTTCATATGCATAACAACAATCTGGAACAAAGAGTGAATTGTGAGGGTCCCCTGTGAAAAAAAGAGAGGAAAATCAAGTATGAAGTAAACTTTGATGTAATCTATTAATATTTTTTATTGAACCTCTCCTTTACCATTTGCAATATTTTATAACAAACTTAGTCTTCCTACTGTTCTATGAGATCTTTCATTTGCATATTTTGCACATTCCACTCTTTATCTTTCCATAATACTCCCTTGAGATTGTTTCCCATTTTGTCTAATCAATTCCAAATGATGATGACCACATATATGTCAAAATACAATTGTGTTTCTTAAGGGTTTCAGCGGTTAGATTTTCAGACAAATCTTTCTAACAAAGCGCATCAATCTATCTATCATTAGCAAAGCATACTACCCCAGGTACTATGTTGTTTGGGGCCATAATGTTGACTACAACTCAGAGCGACTCTGTGAACAACAGATCTGAACCCTGTCCCGTCTTGTGAGATCATCAGGCTCAGGCTCGTACTCATGCTTGAGCCCATAGTTAAAGTCTCTGTGTCTGCCTACCTCAGTAAAGGTTGTACTCTCTTTCTCTAACCCTTGACCTTTGTCAGAATGGCATCTTTCTCCTCTTGACAGCATGCCCAAAGGACATAGAACAAAGTCCTTGACTGTGGTATGCTCCCTGCTCTTATAGAACTTCCTCCAAGTACACTTGTTTGTGCTTTTGTCAATCCAGCAGATGCATAGGAAGCAATTAAAAATACCTTGACCTGGGTCACGAGCATCTTAAACTTTAAACTGACAGTGACTGGGGCTATAGAGAAATATTATATTCCTCTTACCATTAAGAGCTGAATGAAATAAATGTGGTTAGTTTGTAACAGAGCTAAACTCAAATTTCTAAAATTTACATAAAAGTATGTATATTTTTCACCATGGCACCTTAGTTTCTTTAATCCACATACCCACCACCCCAGCATCACTTCCTTGGTTACAAATTCTAAAAATCAACACCTTAACGTCAAAATAAAACTAACCTTAAAACATAGTGAAACACTTTGCATAACTCTTAATTTCACAAATACTTGAATTAAGAGTATTAAAGAGTAGTAGTAACTAGTAATTACTATTTAATACTTATAAAACATATTTATGATATTCTTTAACACCTTCGATATTATATTTTATTTACTATAAGTCTTTCCTACCAGACAAATAGGCATTATGAGTAAACATGGTAATTGTAGCAGCATGGTTATAAACTGCTTCTACCCATTGAGAGAAACTTTTACTTGTAATTGTAAACAGTCATATTATGTGACATATGAAACTTATAAACACTCATAGTAATTAATTTGCATTTTTTTCACTTGAAAGACTTCCCCATTTAAATCCTAATTATTGGAGAATTTGGTTATATAAAAAATGCTTCAACCTCTTTCAAACTTTATAGGCTTCTGGGGTTTTAAAAGTGTATTTAGGGAAATCCCCCAGCCCATCTTGCATTC